AACAAAAAATCCCCTCTTTTTTCAAAAAAAAAATTTTCCCTTTCCTCCCATCCCCCCCCAAAAAACCCCCCCCCTCCCTTTTGCCCCCCCATACCCCTTTTCGCCCCCCCCCCCCCCCCCCCCCCCCTCCGACCGTCCGCCCCAGGTAAAGAACCACGAGTACCTGGAGTCCGCGAAAGCCATTGTACGCACTCTGCCGCCGGGACCTTTGCCAACGGTGAGTTTGATTGTGCTCTCAATCGTGAATCTTCTCTGTTCTCGCTCTTTCGTGAGCTTCGGGCGAGTTCTTAGCACTGATTGGCTTGCTCAACAAATTGGAAGGAAGCCTGCTCGAGACTGCTGGTATGCGGTAGGACGTACATGGTCTAAAACGTTGGGTAGGCATTGAAGTTTATCTCACCGACGGAGGCATGCCGTAGAGGTTGTTGGCGGTATCGCTTTCCGTTAGACATCCGCTTCCTCTTGACCATGTATTCGACACCCAGCGGCATGAATAGTCAGCCCTCCCATCTCGCTTGCTGCTTGCTTGCGCAGGGGACACACGAAATCTTGCGGTACGCCGGGAAGGGCTGGGTACTCTCCGAGAACGATCTCGCCTCCGCAAAAGAGAAGGACAAGTACTGGGAGAACGTTTCGCCCGTGTGGAAGGTAGGAACAAGGAAAAAAAGTATGGGGGATCACTTGCTGCTTGCGGGTTGACGAGCACCGAAAAAGGCGAAGGATATGAATGAATCAGGTGCTCAGACTTGGCCCCCATGTTCCCCTAACCTTGTTGTTAGTCCGGTTCACCCAAACACGTGGAACACATGGTACTATTAGCTGCTAAACGAAGTTCCCCCCCCCCCCCGTTTTCTCTCTTGCCGAAACCATCTATGGACGTGGTTTGTTTGCCCTGTGGCTTTAACCCCAACCAGCTTCCGAACCAAGTTGCCGAGGAGGACGTCCGCAGCCTAGTCCTCTCCGTAGACGTCCTCAAGGACCAAGTGTCCGTGGAACAGGAGAAGGCAAGCGTCTTGGAGTATCGCGGAGGGAGAAGAGGCAGCAACGGTATGGCCTTGACTGAACCAGGTACCCCCCCGCAACAGCGACAGCAGCAGCAGCAACCGCACCGCAACGGAGGTGCGAAGACGAGAGTCGGGAGGCCGGCGACGACGTTGGTACGCGGGAAAAAAAGCGGCGCAACCAAGAAAGTCAAAGTCAAGGGAGGCGCGCGGCAGCAACAGCCGGAGGGGCGGGGCGATGTCACGCCGGCGGCGGCGGTGGCAGGGGATGGCGATGAGGAGTGCAATGAGGGGCCTCGTACTGCCCTGGAGGTGGCCGTGAAGATGCACAGGGGGGCCCTCCCAGAAATGCTTCGCCTCAAGGAGCACTTCGAGAGGTGAGAGGGGTGTGGGGGGGGATTGGGAGTAGGTGGCGGAAGAGTCTCAGTAACAGTCGTTGCTGCTTGGTGTCGGCATAACGATGTGCGGTCGAACGTGGCACGCACGAACAGGTGGAGAATCGTTAGTAGCTTGTTTCAGGGTTGCATGTATCACATCACCGATAACAAACGCACCGTTCGTGCTGTCTAGGTGTTTTTCTTTTTCCCAAGTTATGAATGATCTCTATCGTACCAGTATTGCGTTAGTTATCCTGACGTCACCCCCACCGCACCTCCCGTTCGGTCGCACATCGCCTTGCTTGTGTCTCCGAACGCTACGTTAATCATCACCATCACCATCCATGGCGATTCATTGGACTGTCTATGGCGATTCATCGGCGTGACACAGCTCGATGCGCTTGGACGTCGGCCGTCTGCTCTACTACATGTAAGCAAGAAATACATAAAGAGTCCCGTGCGCGATACTGTTGTTGTCCGCTCCTTCCTCACCTCTCGCAGTAAGGTGGAAGAGTGGACTGTGAAGGGTGCCAGATTCCGCCGTGCCGTTCGTTGTCCCATGAAGGGACAGCGTAGCGTTGGAGTTGAGTATCGAGGCTGCGTGTTTGCTCGATGTAGGTGGGAGTGCAAGCAAGTCTTGACCGCCCAGGGTAAAAAGCCGTGCGCATGACAAGGCACGGTGCGTTCTTCACGGCTGTTCCAGAAACCGTCAACTTTTTGGTGTCACGCCCTAGAATGTATCCTCTCTCGACTGAAGAAGCTCCATGATCAGGGGATATACCGAAAGAACCCCGCCAGCCACGCCGTATGTATGCCTCTATTATCAACGTGTCCTGGATAGACACTGACACTGACAATAGTAAGTCTTGGTTCCGCTGTCTCTTGTGACGCGAGCAGGAACCTCTCGCTGCTGCAGCTAGTGAACCACGGTCGTGGTGGTGGTGGTGATGTCGCCGATGCGGTCGAGGCCGTGCAGCGGGGCCTGCGCGTGATCCTCCGCTTCCCGGGGCTGTGCCGCTACAAGTGTTGGTGCGTGACGCAAAGCTGCAACACCAACATGACGATGATGCAAAAGAAACGTGCACTTGTATAGCAGCAACGCCACTACAACCCAAAGCAAACAACATTGCACCCTGCGCTTGCATTTGCACGCCGCACAACAACGACGACCCTGGTAACATCGACGCTGGTTGGCAAGTCATTGTCTCTTGGGACCAATGTTGCTAGCGTAGTAGGTCTTGTCTACCGTGGCCTGTACCAACTTACTGCTGTCGGCTCGCTTGCGGTAATGCGCCCCCCCCTACTCCCCGATGCAGGTCGCACCTCTGTCACACCCAGCTGTGGTGTTTGGCCCTAGGCCCCGACCGCGAGCCGTACGAGGAGCTGAGAGCGGCGTACAACCCCGTGAGGCCGTCGGGGTCGCCACTAGTCCCCGCGTTCGAGCACTGGCAGGGGATGTCGGACATATGCAACCACGTCCACTGCAGGTGTGCATCGCCTCTTGTGATGAAATTGTTAATAAGTGGTTGCAGAAATCGCTATGATGATGTCCGATGTGCACACGTGTACGTTGACGGTTGGGATATATGTTAACGGGTTTGTTGCTCGAAGGGACCCCCCCCCCCCACATGCCCCCCTCGTGCATAGAACGGCATGGCGCACCCCCTCCGCCACGGCAAGGCCATCAAGGACAGCAGCGTCCATTAACATGGCAATGGGCGGTCGTTCTGGTGGTTGGAAAAATCTGAACGACACATCGTTTAACAAGAGGGCCATGCAATGAATGGGTAGAACTCTCTTGTATCTGCCGGATATCCGTTTGCACGGACTATATTGGAGGAGCCCCTTTCCCCCCCAATCCCTTTGCCACCCCCCCCCCTCACGAGT